TGGCTCGAGGCGCACTACCAGGAGGCCGAGAAGCTGCGCGGCCGGCCCCTGGGCCCCGTCGACAAGTACCGGGTGCGCAAGAAGTTCCCGCTGCCCCGCACCATCTGGGACGGCGAGCAGAAGACCCACTGCTTCAAGGAGCGCACCCGGCACCTACTCCGCGAATGGTACCTGCAGGACCCTTACCCCAACCCCAGCAAAAAGCGCGAGCTGGCCCAGGCCACGGGACTCACCCCCACGCAAGTGGGCAACTGGTTCAAAAACCGGCGCCAAAGGGACCGGGCCGCCGCCGCGAAGAACAGGTCAGTAGCAAAGGCCGGGAGCGGAGGAGGCAGACGACGGGGAAGGGCGGGTAGCTCACCGCTACCCAGTCTTCATGTGCGGTGCAGGTGGCTGATTCACACAACAGCTAACTTCTAAACCTGGGTCAGCCACGTGCAATTGTTGTATGTCACGAAACACGCAGTGCCCTGAGAGGTAAATAACCTGAGGGGCTGTTTGGCACAGCTCGTTAAATCGACTGAGTCTAAGCATTATCCAGCCTCCTTTTAGGCTAGTCTTGCGTGTGGTGCAGACCCGAGTGAGACCAGCTGAAACTATTTGATTTACAAAAGTGATAACATTTTCTGTTTACAGTTTCATTAGTTCCAACCTGGAGGGGTTTCCGTGGGTCCTACTCCAGAATAAAGATGTTTAGGCAGAGCTGTAATCCTAAGCATATTTACCTGGAAGTAAGGCTGGGCTCCTAAATCCTAATCACAGGTCAGAGGAGAATTCTGCACACCTGTGATTATATTGTTACAGTTGGTTGCACAGCCAGCCAGTTGTTTAGACTGGATTTGGCATTTTTGTCCACCTATCAAGTCCTTCCCAAGGACCTGGATTGGCAGATGTGGTTGTTTAATAATATTAAAGGTATCGTTGCAGGGTGTAAGCTGTTCCAAGTAAAGCTGCCTTTTGCAATTGACTGATGGTTGTTATGATTATCATCATCATCATCATCATCATGATCTGCAAAAGGTGCTCAAAGCAGAGTCTCCTTCTTTGGAATCCTGTCCCAAAGACCTTCTCTGCTTCTACAGGAATGGGAAGCGAGGAGACAGATTAGGCTCCCTTCGTTCATAATACTGATTCACGTCAGTTTGTTGGTTTTGCAGTTTAGCTTTTACGATACAGCTGTCAACATGGAATCAGAAGGTTTGACTTTACAGGAACAATTCAAGGAAACCTGGTCTGTTGTAACTCCTGGCATTTTTATTTCACCATCATTGTTAGAGGATCGCAAAAGGCAAATGTGCTTTGGCGATCACAGCTTTTCACGGTGGACACGTATTCAGGAGTAATCAATCTAACTGCATGCTGCTCATTCATTTTCAAAGGAAATTTTGATTAATGTTGAAAGTCTTATTTCCTACTATACTAGTTTAAGGAAGGATGTTTAAAAAAGAACTTTCATGTGTAAATATCTATTAAAATCCCAATAGGGAGACATGAGTTACAAATTAATATATTGCTATCTGCTTACTTTTAACAATTTAAGATCAACTTGATATGGGATGAATATACAAAACTGAGACTTAATTAATGAAACTTCATTCCATTAAGTGTGTAAGCTTTGGAAATGGCAGTTATTTTTATATATAATGTTTTTAAGGCAATGACTTGACATAGTTGAATTACATTCTGAATCATCTTTTGGCAGCAGGTGAAGAGATGCAACTTAAAAACTGCAAAATATTTTTTTAATTAATTGATAATTCAAAGAAAATATGGCCATAGTATAATATACAGTTTTAAAGTCCAGCATAACCATATATCTACAATTATAATTTTCCCAATTATAATTTTTTTTGACATTTTTCATTTCTGATATTTATCCAACATACACTCTGAACAAAAGTAGGAATTGAAATGTAAATCATATATAGGATTCCAACTTAACTTGATTTTAAAAATGTGGCTTGCTAGGTTTAGGGTACAATCCTGTATTTGTTAGACAGATAAAGCCTTATGACATGTGTATATTCAACTGCAACAAAAGTGACTACCAACAGAATTCCAAATAATTATATCTTATGTTTTAAAGCATCTCTATTTAAACAGTTTCAGTATAAGCTTCATTCATGAAGCTTCATTCCTGTGAAGCCAGATCTATTTCTGTGGAGATAGATTGCAGCTAGGATATGTACTTTTGGGAAAAATTAACTGTGATTGTTTGTAGAATATAAGTGAGAATTTATGTGGTTAGATAATAAAATAATTTAAGGTATGCATGCCTGCATAGGAATAAATAAGAATAAACCAAGAAGGTAAGAATTTGCTTGAAAAGAAAGCCTTGCTCTAATAGGAAAGAATTTCTGATTCCATTTAGACATGTTAATTAGCACGAATGACCTCTATTTTTCAGGAGGCAAACAATGGCTCCTCATTCATGACTCTGTTGTGTCAAAGTGCAGGAATGTAAAACAATTTAGTCCTATTGACTTACACAAGACTCAGCAGCTAGGGGCTACACTAAAATACCATCTTTTCCTATATACTTCCTAGAGAAATTCCCTTTTAATCAGAGGTTTACTTCTGAATAAATGTTCAAAAGCTCAAGCAATATGAATCTTTCCAGCATTCCTCCTTGAAATCAAGTTTAAGTGGAATATGTTCTTCTTGACATGTAAGTGGTCTCATGAGAGATGGAAGGAGAAAATGTATGGGACAATTAATTTGGGGCAACACCTTTGTTTAAATTCTTGAATTTTCATTAGGATGATCAGTAAGAATTATAAAAAACATGCAGTTCTATATCTATTTACTGGCTAGCCAAATATCATTGAGTTCACCATTTCCTGAACTGCAGCCTTAAGTGGCAAGTAAATTATTTCCTTAAATCTTCTGAGACCACAAAAAGTCAGTGAAGAAAAACTGTAATGAAGACTTAGATGTTCAGTGTGGTGAGGATACCACCAAATAGGACAGAGATGAGGGCAAGACAAAGCATACAGCACACATTGTTTAACTAGATAATCATTTTAATGTTTTTGTCTTTGCCTGTTTTTTAAAGTAATTAAAACAATTACTTTTCTGTTCTGTAGATCTGGAAGTAGAACTAAAATGGGTTCTTTTCAGTCTGCTGTCTTGAAGCTATGTTCAGAAAATATTCTTCCTTTTTCTTTGGGTGTTCTGATTTTATAAATATAATTAATGTAAAGAAATGTTATGTAAAAATAAGAGTGAAAATAAAAATAAGAATAGTTTAGAAGGGTTACTTGTACAATTTAAGGGCAAGATTTTTTAAAATTTCATGGGGAGAGGGAATTGATTTACCTTCATAACAGAAAAAAAATGTCTTCTTAAATTCATACACACACATCCCAATTCAATTGTCATTTAAATACTTGGAATTGGGAAGATAAACCATAGCTTGAAATGAAGAATAAAAAATATAATGACTTCAGATAAGATGATAAGACCTCCCTCACATGCATACACATATTTTTGTTATTCCACAGTGTAATCCAGAATAGATTTGGAAATTGTAATTTCAGTAACAAATTACCCAATCAAATCGAATTACTGTAGTATTCTGTTACTTATTTGGCAGTATAAAGGTGAACATTATTTTCACTTGCATTATCCACTGCTCTTAAATTAATATTGTTACCTTCTTTGTTCTAAGAGCAGTAGTCAGGCATAACAACAATTGTAGCTTGATAAAAAACCTGAGATAATAGTAGTACTAGAAATGTATTTTATACATGTATTTTATTTCAGTCCTGAACACTTTTTTCCCTGAAAACAATTTTTACACCATTTTCTTAAATACCTTCATAGGTATATTTTTAAAAATGTGTTTCACATTTTTGCTGTAGCATATTTATTCCTCAGACATATCTATGACTTGAACTTTTACTAATACTGAATTTACATGTGGAGTGACTGTTATTTGAAAAAGAAAAAGAAGGCATCCATATTTATATATGTTCCTGTGGGACATGTGAAGCAATTATAATTGGCATAACAAAGAAAATACCATAACAGATCTCAAACTGCATTCTTCATATTTCTTCAATGTATCCTATAATAAGCCTTCTAGATCTTACTGAACTTGTCTTCTAGTATTATATAGAAATTATTTCTATCAAAAAACAAATTCTTATATTAGATCTTAACTCAAATGTATACATTCTTGAAGACCTAGTAAAATCATATAATTATATTCTTATAATTATATAATGTAACTAGAAGAGGTTAGAAAACAAAGCATTTCTAGTGTCTTACACAATATGTATAAAGTGAGAAATGCCTTCTAAAAAGAAGCAACCAAAATATTGTAACTCTACTACAACTACCAGCACAATGGAACAACCAAAACATACAGCATTTGAAGATATAATATAAATATTGGGGTAGAACCATTCAATTCTTAGAATAGCATAGCAGAAACTGTCCTGTAAAATGGGATAAGCAGGTGAAATATTTGAAAACTAGATGGGGGGACAAAATTTAATTCTTTAACACACACATAGTGATCTACATCCCTTGATATCTCCATTGATTCACAGGTTTAAAATAAGAGATATATGAGCAGTCCTCCCACCCAATCCAGTTCTCATATCCACGAGTCTCATTTACAAAGTAAGCAGCAGAGTAAGGCATAGAGAGGGGATGGGCTGTTGGAATTTATTGTTGGTGGACAACTTAATCTGGGGGGGGGATTGGGGGGTTGCATTTGACTGCTTGACTAGCTGCATATGGTGGATGACTTTGGGCTAGTCATTCTTTCTCTGCCCAGCTATCTCAGAGAGCTGTCCGTGGGGAAAAATAAGAGAAGGAAGAGGTATGTATGCTGCCTCAAGCTCCTGAATGAAAGACAGAATGTAAATCAAATAAACAGTACACCTCTAGTGTAGACACAGTTGTATCAACCACACTCCCTTCTCGATACCTCTAAACTAGCTTCTTAGTCTCAGGACACTATACCATCACTTGTATTGAAATAAATTCAGCTGTCACTCCAGTCACCTACATGATGGAGGTGTACCATCTTCTCCTTCATCTTGAGTGGCAAATGGATTTGACCCAGCCTTGTGGGGAAATACCAAACCGAGAGGTGGGTGTGGGTGGGTATTTAATAGAATTCTATGCTCAGCAATTTACTTGTACCAGAGAAGAACTATACCTAGCCAGAGAAGCCTGCAAGAATATTCTGTCTATTATTTATCCCCTTCCTCTGATTTTCAGAAGTATCCAAATTCTCAATGAAGAAATTCCCTTTTGCTATCTTGGCCTTGGATATATTTATTTTTCATACAGTGACTGATTCTTGATCCAATCAAAATGTATTGTAGAAGGAGAGAAATAAGAGCTTAATATCACCTAAGATACTTCCTTATATAAGGAAGGGTGAATATGGTGTCAGTCTTGCTTTGAGGTGAAGAAAGTAGAAAGTCTCTACCCTCTAGCTAGGGTAAAGACGATATGTGAGGAAGCAGAGAAAATGGGCATTGACAAGAACTTTATTGTGCAAGAGAAACTAGTGGGGGGGGGATGTGGGAGAATGTAAAGGTATTTTGTGATGCAAAGGTAAGTTGATAAGTTGGTGAGAATCTTTGCAAATGAGGTCTGTAAGGGATGTTACCTTTGTGAGAAACTGTGTGTACAGTATATGGGATTCCAAGAAGGACTGGCATGTATTAGAAGTCTGGGAAAATCCCTCTTCCCAAAACAAACCTCCAAAGAGTTTAGCTGGAAATACTAAGTTTACTATGGGCCACTCCCCTAACTGAGTTAAAGTGCTATCCACTCATCCTTGAGTTGGCATGAGACAACATCAGAATAACATCTACTGATCCCAATGTCATAACCTATTGTACTTTATTGTATTTGTTCCTAGGCATTGCCAAATGATGCTGTCCTGATTTGAGGGTGCCAGTCACCATAGGCTTGGTGACTGGAATTTTCTGCTTTGGTTTTGCTGCCAACCACTTTCAGCATGTCATCAGCCAGTAGGAGAACCATCCATCATTTAGGGCATTGCAGCAAAACTATGGTGACCTTATTTGAGGACTCTGGATTATTCCCCCTCAGCCCCCAGAACAGTCATCCCATTTGATCATCACCCAACCCAAATTACAATAATATGAAATAAAGAAACATATGGGAAAACACCAGAGTGGAAATAGTTGTAGAGAGGAAGAAACCAGATCCTGGTATAATTGTTCAACTAGCTGGGTCTGATAGAGCAAAATAACTAAAACCAGCTAGCTGCTGGGCATCCAAGGGTGGGCAGCAGAGGGACTAAAACTGGCAGATGCAGGGAAATTGCAAATAGGCAAACAAAAACCCAGTTCAACAGCCCTCATTATTATCCGGACATTGCAGTGAAGAAATGCAGGGCTGCTGCATCTTAAAGATAAATTTCAGGATAGTACTGAGTTCACACAAATGTGCCATTCTTAGTCCTAGATTAAAAATAGTAAGTCTGCTCTTCTCTATTTTTTTGGATGCCTGGAGAGAAGTTGAGTGTCAGAAATATGGAAGGAAGTGACAGGTATAGGAACCCAGGAAACAAAGTGCTGATGGAGGGGGTGAAGCTGGAAGAGAAATGGCTGTAGCAGAGGCTGACTAGTGACCAGAGGACGAGTCTGATGGCTACGCCTCCCGATTCTTACAGAACACATCTTCACCCCCACAAAACAGTATCTTTGTCTCCAATGGGTCACAAACGATTACAGATTTTACCCAACTTGACAGTGGAGGGATAATGTGGCTTAAGAGGAAAAACACTGCTTGTATACTAGTACTACTAATGATAATTTAAGGCTGTCCTGCTCATGAGCTGGGACAATAGGAGGTTAATGTCATGAAGCCAAGGGGGAAAATTGGTGTTGTCAGGGTATGATTGTGCCATTATAAGTACAAGTGGGATTAAGGCCAAAATCAAGTTAGTTGACTCATTAAAACATTTTATTTGGTCTTCAATCTGTTTTCCTTGACCTGGACTTTATATTATCTCAGTGTGTGTGTGTGTGTGTGTGTGTGTGTGTGCGCCTTCGAGTCAGTGTTGACTCTTGACAACTGCCTGGACAAGTCCCTGCAGTTTTCTTGACAAGGTTTTTCAGAAGTGGTTTGCCATTGCCTCCCTCCTAGGGCTGAGAGAGAGAGCAACTGGCCCAAGGTCACCCAGCTGGCTTCATGCCTAAGAAGGGAGTAGAACTCATGGTTTTGTTATAGAATGAAGTTGAGATGTTAACATACAAAGCTGTTTTATACCGGTTGCTTGCAGGGGATAATGGGAAATGCAGTACAGTACATTTGGAGGGCAAACATTGGTGAAGATTATTCTAGTTATTCTAGCACTATTATTATTTAGTGCTACAACCTTGAACTTGTGTTTGCAAATAATAGGAAGGAAACAATCCTGCCCATTGAATTTTAGTGGCTACACTCCAGATTTAAACCTGTCAAACCCAGTGTTCCTTGTCTGAGTTGTGATCATCTTTCAGTATAAATAACCAATACAGATAGAGGAATTATGGTACAGAGTCAAACAGTCACCAGCCAGAGGAATATGATAGGATCACTGGGGTCACATTTTTTTTTACAAAAAATTAGAATAATTAATTTAGAAATTGCTACCTTTTTGAGGTGATGAGCACTTATGGAATTGTAAATGCATGTTGTGGGAATTCACACAATAATTATAAAAATCGGTGTCCCCAGTCACATCCATTTACCAAAAGATAACTGATATACTGTCCCTGCCTTCACTTTTCTGACCTGGATGTTCTCTATCACCCTTTATCTTTTATTTGGACACTGTAGGCAGGCTTCCAAACTGTGGTGGAAAATATTTTTATTTTCTAATAATGTCTTTGAAGCTTATGTAAGATCCAGAGGCATTCTGATAAAGAAAGAGAATGCTGGAAAGAAAAAAAGGGATAAGGTGCAGTGAAGCTGAAATGTTAAAGACAAGGTGAAAGCAGAATGGAGGAGTCTGGCAAAAGGACAGATATTCTTATTTAAAGGAGCAAGATACCTAGATTGAGCCATAATCAATTACATGTAGCCAGATGTTTCAAAGTTCATTTTTTGAAACCTGATGTAATTTTACAATGTTTTATTTTTTAAAGATTCAATTTGCTGCCATTTAAAAAGGTTATTATTGTATTTTTTTGTAATGGGTATTTGGACTGCAATCGATTCCAAAAGGAATCAATATTTAGAATTTCTAAATATTTGCAGTAATATTTATAAACATTAATGATTAAAGCTGCAATATGAAGAGGAAGAGACAAAAAGGAAAGCTGTCAAAATGTAATTGTGTAAAATCTTAATATACGACATTCTATATATATATGACTATTCCAAAATCCTATTGTGTTCAATACATCAATGTCTAGGATAGGTATAAAATGCCAGGTTTTATTATACTTCTGCCTAAGAGTAAGTAACCTGCTGTTTGCAGACACCATAGGGCCATAGATATCTCCCATGAACTGGTCATGCTCTTCACCCCATCTGACTTTATCATGTTTTTTTAGACTCTGGAAAAAAAAAAGGAAGTGCATATATTTCCTAATCAAAGGACTAGCTTCCAGTATGATGTTTATTTCCAGGGCTAGTTGTGGTGGAACCAAAAAGCATCACATTAGTCTCTATCTCACTATACCAAAAAGCATTGCATAAAAAGCATTCCCCCAAAAGTTAAGCAAGCTTAGATCTAATTAATACTGGGATCGGAGACCACCAGGAAATCTGAGGAGCAGTGTCAATCGGTAAATAAATTTTAAAAATCCCTGAAGGAGCAGTGGCAACTATTTCCCTAATGTTGCCAAGAAAGCTACACAGATGTGTACTGGGAGTCACTGACTTTGACTGTAAAAATAAATCCTATTTGACAATAAAAATATACAGTTTGTGTATATTATCTATGTGTGGGCCAGAAAATTCAGAGAAGGTACTGGACCTTCCATGGTGATGAATTTTTGCAGCTTCCTATCTATAGCTGGGCCATGCCTGTAGTTATGTTGTAGCTGGCATTAAGAGGGGAGATACTGTGGGGACTTTTCCTAAATGGGGGGTTATGATTTTGTAGGAACCATGAAGGCAGAATGATACTAAGTGGGCCAAATGGTGGTGACACTAAGGTAGCAGTAGGGGGGGAGGGGGAGAGAATGTAGTCTTTGGGTCAGTTAAGGGGGGGAGCAGGGACTTTAAAAAAAAAAAGGAACAATTTTCTGGGCTTTTCAACATGGAGGAGCTCTCATCCAAAATATAGCTGAGTACTTGAAATGAATAGACAGGTCAATATGTTTCATTCAGTACAAACTGATTAGGTAAGATATAGTGGTAGGAGATAAAGCAGAACCTTAGCCTTTCCCACACAATCCACGCTGTGGACTTCAACGGACAAAAAACAATGGAGGGAAACAATAACGTGGACGTGGCATGGAGCCAGAAGGAAGTGTGGTGTGAGTGGACTGTTCCAATTGGGGGTCTTAACTGGGCGCTGGATCCGAGCACCGGCGCAGAATTCCGCGGGCCGGAAGAGGGGCAGGGCCGGGAGAGGGGAGCGGGGTTCGCAACGCACGAGGCAGCGAAAGGC